GATTAACACTTTTTCTTCTTCTTTGGGGATTCTTCAGCTTCTCCCACTTTCCCCGCTCATGTCTGGGATCTGCCAGTGCAGCTGTGTGGTTCCTACTAGGGACTGGCCCAGCTCAACCCAAGGTCTTGGGGCCTTGCCCAGGTGAAAGGATCAACACACTCAGAAAACCTAAGTTTGACATGGCATCATATTAACAAGATGATTTTTTAAAAAATATGTTTTATTGAGTTTTAGAGAAAGGGGAAGGGAGAGAGTATGTTACAGAGAAAACAGAAGAACCAAGCAACGCTTAGAGAGATGGAGTTACATTTATTATTATGCGCGGGCCCAGAGGAAAATGTCTCTCGAATTCTGGGCCAAATCACACAGGAAGTTTCCTGTATTTATACCATTTTACCTTCTTTGTCTCCCAAATATGGGGTTCTGTTCCGGTCCCCTTTGCAAGTTCTTAAAGAGCCTCTATGTGCTGGCACTTTCAGACCTCGACCAAAGGCTTGGCCTGATGCCAGCACTGATAACTTCGTCTGGAGAAGGTTTAATGACCTCTCTGAAATGGGAGTAGTCTTATTTTCCTTATTTAAGCCAGCAACCATTTACAGAAGCCAGAAATAGCAAGGTTAAAATTTCAAACAGCAGTTTTTATATAAGATGGATGTTTCAAGTAGAAAGATAGAAACATCAATGAGAGAGGACCTCATCCATCGATCGGCTGCCTCCTGGACGCCCCCAGTTGGGGGATTGAGCCTCCAACCCAGCCATGTGCCCTTGACCGGAATCGAACCTGGAGCCCTTCAATCCACAGGCCGATGCTCTATACACTGAACCAAACCACCTAGGGCCAGGACAATTTTTATATGAGAAGTCACGCAGACCCTCTGGGCCAGAATGACTGTCCACCGACTCTGAGATCCAGAAATGTGAAATCAGCCTGGCCTGTGTGGCCCAGTGGTTGAGCATCAACCTATGAACCAGGAGGTCATGGTTTGATTCCCCGTCAGGGCACATTCCTGGGTTGTGGGCTTGGGTTGTGGGCTTGATCCCCAGTGTGGGGCATGGAGGAGGCAGCTGATCAGTGATTTTCTCTCATGATTGATGTTTCTATTTTTCTCTCCCTTCCATTCCTCTTTGAAATCAATAAAAGTATATTAAAACAACAAAACACCCCTCCCCTTATTACACTAGTACCCAGGGTGGGTGGGGGGCCCCCAAGCCGCAGGGTTGGTATCTTAGGCTGCCCTGCACCTGGTTTCTGGCTTTCCTGGTCAGATAGGCCATGCTTCATGTGTGCTGACCAGGACCCAAGGTCAGGAGTGGAGCAGGCGGTGACCGCAGGCTCTGACCACTCTGTGCTGCACTTGCCTTAGGCCGCCTGACCTCCACAAAGCCTGAGGTCTATAAAAATGTGTTTTCAGTGCGGCACTGAGTCTGCCAGATTGGTAGATGCTCTAAGACCACAGCTGTCTGTCTGCAGCATACTGGTTTCTATTTATTCTGAGAGTTTGGGCTTGGACTGTCCTGCTCACTGATTGTTGCCATTAGTGTCAAGCTTCAAACCACCCAGCTCCTGTCTTACATGTCAGCCAGTGGCAACTTGTCTTCTCGGTTATTCAGGCTATAAACCTCCGACTCATCTCCCTCCCTCTCATGTCCTATGTCCGAGCCATCAGCAAGTCTAGCCAGCTGTGCCTTCAGATCAGATCCAGAACCTGGTCCTTTCCACCACCTCCATCACTGCCAACTGCCCAGGCCACCCTTCTCTGCCACCAGGTGCTTCTTGCAGCTGTACCCACTCTGCTCGACCAGCGATCTTGGCTCCATTGAGACCTCCAGGGCTCTGTCTGCTCAGAGTCAAGGCCAAAGCCCTCCCCAGCAAGGCCAGCCTGGGCAACCCAGGACCTTTGTGTCTGTGGCATGTCTGCCTAGTCCACTGTTCCCCCGAGTGGTCTCACACACTTCTCGGAGGCTGGCCTTGCCCCTCTTAAGTAAGATCTCAAAACCCTCACCAACCTTCATTTCCCTTTCCAGCTTGTCACCTAATGTACGGTAAATTCTTCCTTTTCCTTATTTCTTTGTGTATTGTCTTCCCTCACTGGAATGTAAGGCCACATGGTGGGCTGGGACATTTGTCTTTTATTAGCTTTTGTTAGCTGGCTGCTGTTTGCCTCCTGTGGAGATGAAGATAACAGGCAGCTCACAAACATCAGCAGCAGCTTCTTCTAGTCTAGAACTCTTGATTCTGAAGCTTTTATTCCTTAGCTGCATCAAAGACTGTAGCTCACATTCTGATTTTAAATTTTTATTGTCTATCTAGAAGCCCGGTGCACAAATTTGTGCAGGGGAGGGGCCTGCTGGCTTGGGGGAGGGACCGCAGGAGGTTGGCCAGCAGGCCCCAATCTCGTTGTGTAGATGTGCTGAGGTAGTGGCAGGCAGAGGCCACAGACAGAGTGCCCCAAAATGGCCTGAACACCAGCTAATCTCTGAGGTGGAAATACAGCTCTACTTCACTGCCCGCACTTGGGCCGCCTCACTCTCCCTGGGGCAGAGTTGCTGACAGACAGACAGATTGTCTCTCCTACCTCAGCCACACATTTTTTCAGAGCTCTGCCCCCAAGCATGATAGGTAGCTGACTTCAGCCAATGGTAGCACACCGCCATAGGAGCGCTAGCCAGTCAGCAGTTGGGAGCCCGGAAAGGCATGGAGCCAAACTAGAAGTGGCTGATGGGGGCAGAAGGTCAAGCGGTGCGCATGCGTGGTTCGGTGGCAGAGGTTAAGATGGTGGTGGGGCTTACTTTATGTTTTTGCGGTTAGGCTGCTGCCTTGCCCCTTCTGCCCCCTCCGAGCTGCTACTCTGTCTCGATCAGGGTTGCTCTTCTCCTACAGGCTTCCCAGACCCAGATTCTTCAGGGCCTGGAGCCTTAGTTGGGGGGAGGGATAGGCCAGGGAGAGGGACCACGAGAGGTTGGCCAGCACGGGAGGTTGACTGTGGGAGTGCACTGGCCACCAGGGGGCAGCTCCTGCATTGAGCATCTGCCCCCAGGTGGTCAGTGTGTGTCATAGTTATTGGTCAACCATCATTCCAGTCGTTTGGTTGTAACAATTGCTTAGGCTTTTATATATATAGGTGTTTGTTCAAAATCACCAATTAAAACATTTGAGCATATTTATTTCTTTATTGGAAGGGCTTGTATTAATAATTTGATTTATTTTTCAGAGATACAACTGTTATATAAATTTATGTAGTTTATGTTAATGGAATTTGGTCACTTCATCTACAATTGCACATTTGTGGGCATAGAGTTTTTTGTAGTGTTGCCTCTTATTTAATGTCTGAGATTATTGGCAGTTACACAGCTTTTTTAAAAATATATTTTATTGATTTTTTTACAGAGAGGAAGGGAGAGGGATAGAGAGTTAGAAACACCAATGAGAGAGACATTGATTAGCTGCCTCCTGCACACCCCCCACTGGGGATGTGCCCGCAACCAAGGTACAGGCCCTTGACCGGAATTGAACCTGGAACCCTTTAGTCCACAGGCTGACGCTCTATCCACTGAGCCAAACCAGTCAGGGCTACACAACTTTTCAAAAAAAAAATGTGTTAAAATATACAAAAATAGCCCTAACCGGTTTGGCTCAGTGAATAGAGCGTCAGCCTGAGGACTGAAGGGTCCCAGGTTCGATTCTGGTCAAGGGCATGTACCTTGGTTGCGAGCACATCCCCAGTAGGGGGTGTGCAGGAGGCAGCTGATTGATGTTTCTCTCTCATCGATGTTTCTAACTCTCTATCCCTCTCCCTTCTTCTCTGTAAAAAATCAATAAAATATATTTAAAAATATATATATATACAAAAATAGAATTTTCCATCTTTTATTTTTTATAAATATTTTTATTGTTGACTAGAGACCCAGTGCACAAATTTGTGCACCAGTGGGGCCCCTCAGTCTGTCTTGCAGGTTGGGCTGTAACCGGCTCTCCCACATTCCCCGAGGGGTCCCGGATTGCAAGAGGGTGCAGCCCAGGGTGAAAGACCCCACCGGTTCATGATCTGGGCTGGGAGGGACGCAGGAGGTTGGCCAACTGGGGAGGGGCTGCGGGAGGGCTCCAAGACGTGTCTAGCCCATCTCGCTCAGGCCAGACCCCAGCAGCAAGCTAACCTACCGGTTGGAGCGCCTACCCCTTGGTGGTCAGTGCATGTCATAGCAACCAGTCAACTTTCTGCCCCCTAGTGGTCAGTGCACGTTATAACGAGCGGTTGAGCATCATTAGCATATTATGCTTTGATTGGTGAAACAGACAACCAGACACTTAGCATATTGGGCTTTTATATAGGATTATGAAAGTTTTATTGGCCAAATCTCTACTGTTGTCATCCTCACTGTCAAACTTTCTGTAAGCAATTTGAAAAGGAAACACTGAAAGGGAGCTTGCTATATTGGAAAGGAATGGATTTTCACCCCATTCCTATTCAGGCTGTTACATTGCCCTCTATGGGCCCAGAAGTCTATGCGCCATTCCCCGTTCTGCCCATTATGTTCTTATCTCGGGCTGGGGCTGCCACCAGCAGGCCACACAGTCTCCTCTTCAGTTCCCAGTTGTCTCAGCTTTGGTGGGACACTTCTCCAGCTCCAGAGCCCTTCACTTCCCTTCCTCCTGGATATTATTCTCCTAGGCTGCTTCCAATTTATAGCCAAAGGTTGTATAATTTCAAAGACCAAGGAGCTTCTGGAACTCCTATCTCTTCAATGGATCTCCTGTTCTCCCTTCATGTAGGAGATACCACATTCTGACACTGATCTGCAAGATGACATTTACTCATTGTTTGGCCTTTTTCTCCCCCTCTTGACAGGTGGCTGGTAGCATGTTTAGAATCAGCAGGATCCGCTGTAAATTATGAGGCATGTGCTGACCGAGTGTGCTTCCACACAAAGCTCAGCAGGGCTCGGTCAGAAGGAGACCAGTGGACACGGAGCCATTGACCGTCTTTTCCATTTGTCCTCAGAGCCCCCCAAGATGAACCCAGTGGTGGAGCCGCTGTCCTGGATGCTGGGCACCTGGCTGTCAGACCCACCGGGAGCTGGGACCTTCCCAACACTGCAGCCCTTCCAGTACCTGGAGGAGGTGCACATCTCCCACGTGGGCCAGCCCATGCTCAACTTCTCGTAAGTGCACCTGAGTCTCTGGGAGAATGCCAGGTGGGAAGGGCATGTCCCAGAGAGGCTCCCTGCACTTGCAGCTGAAACATGGTAGGCAGAGACAGGACGTTGTGGCTCCTGTGTATGTGATGATGCTAGGCTGGCAAGATGTCAGATGTGTTACCCCAAACACAAATTAAGTGCTCGTGCTTAACTAAACCCTTCACCCAATATTACTGAAAAGGAGAGAGCTTGACTTTCTCTTAGACTTACCCCTGAGCTGATTGAGGTCTCAAAGGAGCTGTTAATATTTTGGTTCTCAGGTTCTTATTAGACAACAAAGCAGAGGTCCTTCAGCTGTGTGCGTTTCACCCTCGCCCCAACCACAGGAGGCAGGTCGTAGTGTCAGGTGGCTAAATAGAAGGGAACCAGGGGAGGTGGCTGAGAATATTTTGTTTTTAATTTCAGAGATAACACACAGTTTTTAAAGTTTAAGCAATGAAAAAATATTAAAAGTAAAAGTCTGCCCTTCCCCAATATCCGCTATACATTTAATTATATATTAAGAATCTTATTAAATTAACTTGATTCTATTTATGTCATGCCTAGAAACTTCAGAAGGATTTAGAAGACCTTGCTTTTAAAAATATTATCTCATACCTTTTTGTATTATTCTTGACTGAATGGATGAGGGCAGAATAATATTGTGTACATAACACCAAAGAGGAAATTCTGGAAAACACAAAATAACGGGCAGTATAAAACAGTCTTGTTAAACAGTGGGCTACAACCCAAAGATAATTTTGTGACTACAGTACAAAGTATCTATTTTGGTGAATAGAATTGTGAGTGTGTTAGACTATGATCTAGAGCAGTGATGGCGAACCTATGACACGCATGCCAGAGGTGACACGCGAACTCATTTTTTTGGTTGATTTTTCTTTGTTAAATGGCATTTAAATATATAAAATAAATATCAAAAACATAAATCTTTGTTTTACTATGGTTGCAAATATCAAAAAATTTCTATGTATGACACGGCACCAGAGTTAAGTTAGGGTTTTTCAAAATACTGACACGCCGAGCTCAAAAGGTTCGCCATCACTGATCTAGAGTGTATTTCTCATGAGGGTTGTGGAGAGAGGGCATGTGCTGTGGCTGCCAGTGCTGCCCTGTTCAGGGTTCGATTCCAGTGGCAGCTCGCAGTGCTGGCAAAGTGTGTTAAAGTCTAAGTGCAGAACTGTCAGTGCAGCTGTCTCTTCCATCACTGTGAACTTGCATCATGATGCAGGTTGATTGATAAGAAGTGGAGTCCTGACTCAGGGCCTGTTCTTTTCCCCACCGTGTAGATGAGTGGGTGTCCAAGGCAAGATGATAGCTCTGGGGAGGGCAGACCTGGTGTAAGGGTGGGATTTGGTGCTGAGGCCTGAAGCATGTCAGGTGTGGGCTAAAAGGGCTTTGGGAAAGGTAACCACAATTATAAAGAACATGTTGGCTGTCCTTGAGGTGGTGCCAAGCACAGTGGAGTGTTTGTGTGGGGAGGTTCCAGGGGGTGCTTTCAGGCTAGAGGTCGAACCCCTAATGCACCTGGTGGCCACAGCCCACGAATGTGGTTGCTCAAGTGTCTTTCCATGTGAGCGGGAAGTGTATTACCTTGTGCTCAGTGGGGGCCTTATAAAGTGGGGAGGGTGGTGGCAAAGCCTGCATTGAGGGCCCTGCATCCCTGCCCTCACCTATGCCCTGTCCTCACCCCCTGTTCCCTGTGCAGATTCAACGCTTTCCACCCGGACACTCGGAAGCCCATGCACAGAGAGTGCGGCTTCATCCGGCTACAACCCGACACCAACAAGGTGGCCTTCGTCAGCGCCCAGAACACAGGTACCTCTTGCCAGCCAGCCAGATGGCCCCTGGGTGAGATCGCGTCTGCCTCTGTTCTTTCAGTCGCTCCAGTGTCCCTGCTCACAGACATTTTGTGGGGGTCAGTTGGGAGGGGGACACAGACCTAATCCTGTGGGTCCCTTTCAGGGCAGGAAGCATCAGGACAAGTGCAGTGGGGCCTGCAGGTGGGGAGTCAGCAGGTGGAGTCCTGTCTGCAGTCTCTGAGGTCCACAGGAGGTGGTAAAGGAGTGTTTCTGTGAGAACGGGCTGATTTTTTCTTCCGCCTGAGAGGCTCACTGTCTGTCTGAAAGCTCTTGTCTGGAAGTCTGCTTTGCCCCTAGAATGAGGTCATTCTAAAATAGCTTACCAGGTTCATCAATTAGAAATGACGCAGAACCCAGCTGTTGACTTTTACCTGCTCACTGCCTCAGATGAGTCTCACTTCCTGGAAGCAGGTGTACAGTTAGGACCAGCCCAATCTGGAATGGAGCCCAGGACATTGGTGAACTGCAAGTCATTGGGCAGCCAGAGGGATGTCCATTTCCCTGGCCACCTTTCCCTCCTCTCAGATCCTAGGGGATCTATTTGAGGGGGGTGGGGAAGGCGGGTAGAAGTCAGGGCACCCCTGGAGAGGTCGACCCTCTGTAGATCACCTGCCCTGGCTGTACTAGTATGAGGAGCTGTGTTTTTCCCCTCTTGATATCAGGAGGTTCATTGCAGACAAGGGGCCTTGTGGCCTTGATGGCTGCAGAGTTCAGGTCTGTTGAATCTATGAATGCAAAGATGGACGCCAAGAGCCCATGGCAGGCTGTCATGGACTGATGGCCCTCTCTTGCAGGCATTGTGGAGGTGGAGGAGGGCGAGGTGAACGGGCAGGAGCTGTGCATCGCATCCCACTCCATCGCCAGGATCTCCTTTGCCAAGGAGCCCCACGTGGAGCAGGTGAGCCTGTCATCCCTCTCAGACATCACTTTGTGGTGTAGGCAGGATTGCACATTGCTCTGACTTCTCACTTTGTCTTGGGGACCTGTCTCTCTCCAGGGCACATCATTCTTCCTCACTTACATGTCCTGGCTGGTGGGCAGGGAGATTCTCAGGTTCCTTGTTTTTCTGTCACAAACTTCCTTTTCCATTTGTGTTGTCCACTTTTGCAGGTATATCCACATCTGTTGGATAAATTTCTCCCAGTTGAATTGTTGGATCAAAGGATAGGTACATTTAAAATTTTGATAAGATACAAGTAAATTCCTTTTATTAATGAATTCCTACCAGCATTGCATGAGTGCCTGGTTCCCTACTCCCTTATCAACATGCTAATCTGATAAAGAAGAGATTGCATCTCATTCGTGTTTTAAATTTAACATATGAGTGAAAGGGAGGACTCCCCACACTAATTCACCATTGGTATTTCTTGTTCTGTGTACTTGATGTTTAAAGTCATTGCCCGTTTTTCTGTGGGCTTTCATTTTTTTTTTATTGATTTATGGGGGCTTTTTATATACTATGGATATTAATCTATTGTCTGCATTTCCCCATTTGGTGGCTTGTGTGACTTTGGTTTATGATGTGTTCTACCCACAGGTTGTAAGCTTTACTGTGGTTGCCTCTGGGGGTCTTTTCCTTTGCGGTGTGTGGATTTGGATTCATGCTCAGAAAATTGTTTTCTCCAAAATGATAAAATTATTCTTCCATTTTTCTTGTACTCTTATAGCTTTCCTTCTTACACTCAGACCTTTAGTTTCTCTCAGATTTGTTTTTACAGGATGCAGTGTATAGTTCTACTTTCCTCAGATGGATGAACGGTGACCCTACAGATTTGAAATGTCATGCCTATCACAAGCACATCCCCCATAAATAGGGGGAGGGGCCTGTTTATTTCTTTTTGTCTTTTTTCAATAGTAATTTAAAATCATCTGATAATTTAAAGTTACCACACTTTGTTATATTTTAATGTCTAGGGAAAGTTCTTGATTTTTAAAATTTTCTTGATTAGCTCTGGCCAGTGTGGCTCAGTTGATTGGAGTGACATCCCATGAAACCAAAAGGTCTTGAGTTTGATTCACATACCTAGGTGGCAGGTTTGATCCCCGGTTCAGGAACATGTAGGAGGAACCAATAGATGTTTCTCTCTCCCTCTCTTGCTCTTCCTCTCTCAAAAAATCAACTTAAAAAAACAACACATCACCTGACCTGTGTGGCTCAGTTGGTTGAGTGTTGACCCATGCAACAGGAGGTCACCGGTTCAATTCCCTGTTAGGGTGCATGCCTGGGTTTCGGGCTCAATCCCCAGTACAGGACATACAGGAGGCAGCCAATTGGTGTTTCTTATCTCATCAGTGTTTCTCTCTCACTCTCCCTCTCCCTTCCTCTCTCTGAAGTCAATAAAAACATATTTTAAAAATACACATATCCTTAAGTGAGGATTTTTTTTAAATGCTAACTTTTCTTGGTTAATTCTTAAGCAGTTCCTCATTGAGATAACCTGTTCAATGAGCTTGTCCAGGTCCATAAAATATAAATCAAGATTGTGTAAATACACGAATTAAATGGGGGAGAACTGGAGTCTTTCCATGGGTAGTGCTACACAGCAGCGTGATGGTGTGCTGCAGTAATTTCAGGTCTAGTGTGGTGTGTTCAGTAGGTATCAAAAGTGTATTTCTTTATCACTTAAATCATATAGATTTGGCCACTTCGTGGTACGGTGAAGCCTTAAGTGCCATATAGTTTCTGTTGCTATGTGCATAGACTGTTGTCTCCATTTCATCTTCTAACTGGTTTTTGGTGGTTATAAGGGAACACATGGTTTCTGTCCATCTGAGTCACATCTGTCAGTCTCTGACCACCGGGTCTGGGCATGGCACTGCCGGGGTCACGGGGGAACCTGTTGACCTCAGGCCTGACTTCCTGAGGTACTGCTGTGTCACAGCCCTGTTGGATGCTTGCTGGAGGCTGTGACTGGGTCAAGAAGATCATCTTTCTAGTGTGCTAAGAATTGTTTTCAAGAAAGGGTTTTGAGTTTCTTCAAATGCTTTTGCAGCCTCTTTGGGGAAGATTCTGTGTTTTTTCCACTTGAAGCTGACAATGAAGTGAATTATGTTAATAACTCTAAATGTTGAGTCATGTTTGAAGATCATTTCTAGTTATAATGAATTAAATAATTTTTTCAGATGTTGTCCATTTTGGTATCAGTTATTCATAGAGCTCCTTAGCTGTTTCTGCCCCCTGGCAAGGGTGGCCCCCACAGGACTAAGTGGTGACCCCCTTGGGAACATGTCTTGGCCGGGCACTGGGGAGCAGAGAGACCCAGACCTGGATGCTGCTTCTGCCTCCACTGTTCATCTCCAGGCCCTACCTCACTTCATTTGTAAATTCACGGCTCCTTATATCAAGATTTTCAGAGTTTGGAGAAGTGACACATATGTCCCCTTGGATTTTCTGTGTCTTCTCTTTTTCTTGCCAGAGGCTTCCTATTTTATCAGGGTTTTCGCTAGAGAACTAACTTTGGGTTTTATTAATTAAACAAAAAGTGCTATTTTGCAAAAGGAGGGGGTAGGCAGAGGTGAGGCCTGTGGGAGGGAGGACAAGGGGAGGGCTCCACTCTGCAAAGTGACCTGGCTGACCAGAGGCTGGTCTCACATGCCTGGTTGACCTTCCCCCCTGGGTTGGCCTTTCCCTGTGAGTTTACCTTTCCCCTTGGCTTGACCCTTACTATGTTCTCTTGGGTTAAATATTCTTAGCATTCTGTTTTATTTCTTCTGTTAGTTTCTTAACTGTATCTTTTTTTAATGGCTGCTTTCAGGCTATCTGCATCTTAACTTAATAATCAGTGTTATACCATTGCATTCCCACTTCCCACCTAGTTTTGGATAATCCTGTGCTCTTTGCAGCTGAACTTTCCCCCTTTCCATTTCACGAGTCCTAACCTCACAGCTCTGTAACTCCATTTACTCTCCTGTGCTGCTGTCACCACACCTGGCCCATGTGGGGGATGGGCACACAAACACACTGCACTAGGAACCTTCATAGAATTGTTACTTTTGCTTTAAATAGTCAGTTGACTTCCAAACAAATTATAATGAGGGGAAGTAATCTCATACTTATCCGTTTATTTTCTTTCTGTGTTGCCCTTGCCTCCTTCCTGTCACTCTGAAATTCCAGTGGTACTATCTCCCTTCATCCTGAAGACCTGCATTAACAGTGTTTCTCATAACACAGATCTGCTGGCAACAATGCTCTTGAGTTTATTTCACACCCAACTTTTTTTTCTTTTTTAATGTTTTTATATTGAGTTGAAATACATATAAAAAAATTGATCATCTTAACCATTTTCAAGTGTCCACTTCAGTGATTTCTATAATTCACTTTGTTGTGCAGCCATCCCCACCATCCATCCCCATAGTTCTTGTATATTTGAAACACTGTCTATGAAACCATAACTCCCCTTCCTCTCCTCCCCCAGCCCCTGGCGGCGGCCACCATCTACTTTCTCTCTGTGATTTTAATGACTCTTAAGTACCTCATATAAGTGGAATCATATAATATTTGTCTTTTTATGACTGGCTTATTTTATCAGCATAATGTCCTCAGGGTTCATCCATGTTGTCGCACATGGCAGGATTTCCTTCCTTTTTATGGCTAATATTCCCTTGTGTGAATGGAACACATTTTGTTTAACCTTTCCTCTGTCCATGGACACTTGGATTGCTTCCGTGGGTGTGCAAATATCTCCGAGACCCTCATTTCAATTCTTTCAGTCTGTATTCAGGAGTGGAATTGCTGGATCATGTGGTAACTCTGTGTTTAATTGTTTGAGGAACCATTATACTGTTTTCCACAGAAGCTGCACCGTTTTCCATTCCCATCTCCTATGCACAGGGCTCCAGTTTCTCCACGTCCTCGTCAACACTTGATATTTTCTGGGGTTTTGATAGCAGCCATCTTGATGAGTGAGGAGGCATCACTGTGGTTTGATTTGTTTCCCATGATCAGTGCTGCTGAGCATCTTTTCATGGGCGTGTTAGCCATTCATGTATCTTTGCAGAAATGTCTATTCAAGTCCTTTGTCCATATTTGAACGGGGTTATTTGGGTTTTTTTGTTTGTTTGCTTGTTTTTTTACAATGAAATTCCAGCAATCTTTGTGATTGTTGGGAACTCTTCTTTTTTTAAAAAAAAGTTTTTAGAAAGAGAAGAAAGGGTGAGAGATATAGAAACATCAATGAGCTCTAGCAAGTTTGGCTCAGTGGATAGAGCATCGGCCTGCAGACTGAAGGATCCCGGGTTCGATTCTGGTCAAGGGCACATACCGGGTTGTAGGCTCGATCCCCAGTAGGGGTGTTCAAGAGGCAACCAATCAATTATTCTCTTTCATCATCAGTGTTTCTCTCTCTCTCTCCCTCTCCGTTCTTCTCTGAAATCAATAAAAGTATATTTTAAGAAAAGAAAAGACATCAGTGATGAGAGAAAAACATCTTTCGACCACTTCCCACACGCCCCCTACTAGGGGTCAAGCCCACGCTACCTCTACATAGGCCCTGGCCAGGAATCGGACCAGTGACTTCTTGGTTCATGGGTCTATGCTCAACCACTGAGCCACATTGGCCAGGCCAGGATTGTTTGTTTTTGGGTCAGAAGAGTTCTTAATGTATTTTGGATATTACCTCTAATATCAGGTATTTGACTGGCAAATATTTTCTTTCATTCTGTGGGATGCTGTTTACTCTATCGATAGTGCCTTTTGACATATAAATTTTTAAAATATTCATGATGTCCCGTTTGTCTGTTTTTTCTGTTGTTGACTGTGTTTGGTGTTACATACAAGAAATCCTTGCCCAGTCCAGTTTCATGAAGCTTTTGCTCATGTTTTCTTTTAAGAGGTTTATAAATTTAGCTTTTATATTCAAGTCTCTGATCTATTTTGAGTTATTGTTATTGTTTTTGTATATACTATTAGATAAGGGTCCAGCTTCATTCTTTTGTGTGTGAATATCCAGTTCTCCCAGCACCATTAGTTGAAAAGTCTTTTCCACATTGAATGGTCTTGACAACCTGTTGAAAACCAACTAGGAAAGCTAGGAATGTCTTTTTTTTTTTTTTTTTTTTAATATATTTTACTGATTTTTTACAGAGAAGAGGAAAGAGGGATAGAGAGTTAGAAACATCGATAAGAGAGACACATTGCCGAAACCGGTTTGGCTCAGTGGATAGAGCGTCGGCCTGCGGACTGAGGGGTCCCAGGTTCGATTCCGGTGAAGGGCATGTACCTGGGTTGCGGGCATATCCCCAGTGGGGGATGTGCAGGAGGCAGCTGATCGATGTTTCTCTCTCATCGATGTTTCTAACTCTCTATCTCTCTCCCTTCCTCTCTGTAAAAAATCAATAAAATATATTTAAAAAAAAAAAAAAAAAGAGAGACACATTGATCAGCTGCTTCCAGCACACCTCCTACTGGGGATGTGCCTGCAACCAAGGTACATGCCCTTGACCGGAATCGAACTTGGGACCTTTCAGTCCGCAGTCCAACGCTCTATCCACTGAGCCAAACCGGTTAGGAGAAATGTCTTAAAAATAAGGACCATCTCTGTTTAATTAAACAGCAAAGCCAGCCTGGGGTCTTGAACACAGAATTAGAGCTGAATGAACAAGGGCTCATAGCCTTGAATTGTTTTTTACCTCTTCCTCCCGGTTACCTCCCACATTCCATGATTCACAGAGAATTGCCCTTTCTTCCTCAGTGATAGCAGGCTACACCCACACTGCCCGGTCCCCGTGGCCACAACCTTTGATCTCTCCCCAGTGCAGTTTTTTAAGCACTGTGTTCATTACTCCACCCAGGAATCTTCAGAAATGCCCTTCTGCTTATATTGTGATGATAGCCACACTTTAAGCTTGTCATTCGCCGAAACCGGTTTGGCTCAGTGGATAGAGCTTCGGCCTGCGGACTGAAGGGTCCCGGGTTCGAGTCCGGTCAGGGGCATGTACCTGGGTTGCGCACATCCCCAGTGGGGGGTGTGCAGGAGGCAGCTGACCGATGTTTCTCTCATCGATGTTTCTGACTCTCTCTCTCTCTCTCCCTTCCTCTCTGTAAAAAAAAAAAAAAAAAAGCTTGTCATTCATACCAGTTCTCACACTTCAATGTACCAGTGAATCTGGGGTGTTAATGTAAAAAAAAAAAAAAAAAAAAAAAACCATTGAAACCTGTAAAGAACTTTTTTGAGTTTATTTGAGCCAAACTGTCGACAAATGCTGGGAAGCAGAACCTCAACGAATTGAGATAATGCTCTGCAGAATGGCGGGTTACATTTGTATTTATACATTGCAATCAAAGGAGGGACGTAGGTGGGTTACATGAAATTCATTGGTGATAAGATTAAGGAGGTGGGATACAGCAAAGCGGGGCGGGGGGGGGTGGGGGGGAGACTCTGGAATTGGATAAAAAGTAAAATGATGGACACTTAGGTGGATGCAGGAACAATTAACATGAAAATGAAGGAATTTGTGGTATCTGTCCTGGCGTCCAGCACATTTGGTTGTGCCCCAGGGGCTCCAGAAAAAGGGAAGTTTTAAAGTTACCCAGACATTTTAAGGGTATGTTATCATAGATGCAGAAAAGACAGATAGACTCAGTTAAGGTAAAGGTTGACCTTGTCAGTAAAGATACCAGCCTAGGACTGTAACTGCCCTCCGTAACTGCTTTTAGTTAGTTTAATTTCAGACCATCCTTTGTGGTTACTTTAGGTCTCTGAGTTTGCAAAACTGCCATGCAGGCCTCCCCTGAGCTTGTCAGGTCAGCATGTGGCCCCTTTCATCCACAAGGGGTTTCGTTGAAATGCAGGCTCTGATCCAGTGAGTCTGGGTGTGGCTTCCCCACCCCCAAAAAAGAGATGGACTGTCTTCCTGAAGTGTCAGAGGCTCAGAGTTGCCCTTGTCTGAGAAGTAGAGCCTCCCACTGTGGCAGCCTGTCCAGAATGTGGGCTTGCAGCAGCCTGCGCAAGCTCTGCTTTGTAGTCAGCAAGGCCAACAGTTGCTTCCATCCCCACTTTATTGAAATGAGGACCAGTCTGTGGCTCAGATGGACCCCTGGCAGCCTCGGAACACCCACAGTTATTGTTAGTGACCTCACTGGATTGATAGATGGAACCACGGGCACCAGAAGAGGTCTATTGAGCCTGAGCAATGCAGTGTACATCTGCCTCAACTTTAAATCTTTCCAAATAACTTTAGTTTGAAGAGGAAAATAGCACAAGAAAGTTCAAGGGAATACAAAGTCCCAAGGACCTAACAAGTGGCTTTTGGGGAGCCTGTGCAAGGCACTGCCATTGCCAGCTTTGGCACTGAGGCAGCCATTTGACAGCTGACTGTCATCCCTGAGATGGGGTGGCAGTGCTCAGGAGGCCACGCTCTGCAAGTGTGCACAGCTGGGGCATGGGGCAGCCCCTCACCTGCTTTTCCCCACACTGTCTCCTTCCTGGGACCCAGGGAGAGGTGGCCTCAGTGTCTCAGCCACAGTGACTGCTCCCAGGCTGTCTCCCCATCTCTTGCTCACCTGCTTCTTGCTGCCAAGTTACTTTTAGTGGAGCAAGGTGGCTGCTATGGGGTGTCCACAGATTTTGGCACAAACAGACAGAGCTGAAGGCTGAGGGACAGGCTCACTGGGTCCCTGAATAGTGAGATCGGTGTGATTGTATGGGGTGTGTCCAAAAGCCACTCCAGCAGTGCAGAGAGAGAACCGTGAAGTGTCAGGTAATGGAGCCACGCTGGGTCTCCCCTCTGCACTCCCTTCTCTCTGATTGGTCCTTGCAGCCTTGGTGACTCTTCAATTCCTTTAAATAGACTTTTTAAAATCTAGCTTTTTCTCTGCCAGAGGGTTGACCAATTACAGTACAGTTGTCTGCAGCTCAAAACAACACTCCTGTTTCATGTGCTTCTGGAGACCCCAGAATGTTCTGGAACAATAGAAAGGGTGACCATCCAAAGTATCTCTCAACAGTTGTCGTGGTTCCTCACTCTGCAGACATCCCAGGCAGAGAAGGTTTTCTCACAGGTTGCTTGCTACAGGCTTCCTTTTTGGAAACAGCCACCATAGTTTGTTCCTAAGTGCTGCTACTGAGTTTTCCTGGAACATGTGTGACATCAGTGCAAGCTGTAGAGTGAAGTGGGAAGGTTACCTTTTGCCAGATCAAGTGTATAATTTACTGACAGAAAAAGAAGGTGGCTTCTAAATACCCTAAGATGGGAGGGACCAAGTCATGGTCTTCTGGGGACAGAGAGAGGCGAGGACACCTGGATCTTGGCAGGTGCTGTAGCTCTGTGGGCAGAGTCTGTCATCTGACTCAAAACTAAGGTGACTTGTCGTAGCCCCTGCAGGAACACTTGGCCTGTGGTGGGACCTCAAGCATTTGTTGTATCTTTGGAAGATAAAACTAAGATATTTTGTATTTGTTTTGTTCTGCTCAGATTACCCGAAAATTCAGGCTGAATTCTGAAGGCAAACTTGAACAGACAGTCTCCATGGCAACCACTACCCAACCCATGACTCAGCATCTTCACATCACCTACAAGAAAGTGACCCCGTGACCCAGAGCAAAACTTCATCCTGGCCGTGTGCGTCAGGACGTGACACTAGGCTTCTCACAGACGCCGCAGCAGCAAGTGTGGGTGTGGCTGCAGCTCCCAGGGGGATCAAGGGCATTGCCCAGTGTTCCTGTAATGGCATAGAAAAACCAAATAAAAGGCCTTTATTTTTATGGCTGAGCATTGTGATATTATGTGTGTGGACTGTCCAGCTCCTCATCTGCTGGTGACTGTTTTCTAGAGTCTTTTCCCTAAAAAAAGACTGCATTTTTTACAAGATCTGAAATATGTATAAACCTTAAGTAGAGTGGTCAATCATAAGCTAGAGACAAAGATGGACAGAAAGAGTTGCTGTGATTTTTAATGAGCTAAAGGAGCCTGAGGACCCCATTTCCATAAGGACAAAAGGTGTTCCCAAGGCAAGAGGGTAGTTGTGAAATTAGCGTCATTATGTACGTCTTATTTTATTACTCTGTAATATATTATTACTTGGATTTCTTTCTTTGTTGACTATGAGTTTGCAGACATACACTGACCTATGTACCTGTCACCCAGTTTTAACACCTGCCAGCTTTTCCATCCCAGTGATTTCACCTGTTCTTCCGTCTTCTTTTTGCTAGTATTTTTAAGAAAATTCCACACATAATGTCACTGATCCCTAAATGCTTCAATATGCATTTAAAAACAAAGCCTTTTATTTTCTTAGCACACCAGGGTATCAGAAACCACACCAGGAGCGCAGATACATGTGGAAGGAGGTGCTCCAGCTGCAGAGAGATTAGCACCTGCAAGAGCAGCTGCATCCTACCCATCCCCCAGGGCTTGGGGACAAAAGACATTACCAGTTGGTGGCTTAAGGACAAAAGGCATTATCAGGTGGCACACCTGGAAGCTCAGAGGAGGAACCAGGGCTGGCGCTGAGCCATCATATGGGAGGAGCATGGCCAGTGTGTAAGGAACTCGGCTGGTTCCCCAAGTGCCAGGACACAGGGAGGCTGGGCACTCCAAGTCAAACTCAGGTACAATTCATCCTGAGGCACAGCCCTCGCCGGCCGTGAACCTGTGAAACCAGACAAGGAATGTGCCTCCAAAATAAGGTGTTGGGACAGTCATGGGCTGGACATTCCCATTCCAAGGGGGTGGGCAGGCAGTGACAGGTCCTGAGCAAAACCAAAACCTGAAGGACTCAGAATAATCCTCTGTCCTCATGTCTGCCTCTAGGCCCACTGGGGTAGAGGTCCCTCCTGGGCTGCAGTAACACACCAGTGGCTCTATCCACCTGGGGTCATCCTAATGGGGAGCTCTCTGCAGCGGCCTCACCTGTGTAGGGCCTAGCTCTCTGCCTGGGTCATGAGCCCCCGCACCACTGCAACTTCCAAACTCTTCAGTCATTCTTCCTGGTCTTGGACTAGAGGCCCTGACTTCTGTGTAGGGGGCTGGCTAATTTCCCCAGGGTTGTAGAAAATCACCCCTAACTTCTTTGAGATGGCCAATTAATACTAATTTCCTTATCAAATCTGGGCACACCAGTCATGCTTCCTCAGAGCAAGCTTTCTCATTATTTTCAATGTGGATAGGCTGAGAATTTCCAGATTTTTAAGGTCTGCTTCCTTTTTAAAATATATATACCTTGTTGGTTTCAGAGAGGAAGGGAGAGGGAGAGAGAGAGAAAAACATTAATGATGAGAGAGAATCATTGGTCTGCTGCCTCCTGCACGCCCCACACTGGGGATGGAACCATGACCTCCTGTTTCATAGGTCAACATTCAACCACTGAGCCACGCTGGCCAGGCAGTCTGCTTCCTTTTTGATGAACAACTCTGTAAGTCGTTTCTCTCTTCCTGCATTTTACTATAGTATTCAGGAGATATTAGGCGACTCCTTCAAAACTTCTACTTAGCTTAGAAATTTCCTGCCGAATAGCCAGTTTCATGACTCACACATTCTACCATCCACAGAACTCGGCCACAGACACAGTTCCCCCACGCACTCTGCCACTTTATAGCAACCATCACCCTCCAGCTTCTAAGAACTTGACCCTCATTTCCGTATGAGATGTCATCAGAATGGCCTTTACCATCCGTATTTCTACAACATTCTGTTGAGTGTTGAGTGGCTCAGATTTCTCTAAGATGATAGAGGCTTTCCCTCCACTCCCCACTTCTCTCTCTGAATCACTAGACTCACCCAAAACAGTCCATTCATGCAATGTAGCCTTTTCCTATCATAGACCTCTATCAATTGCCAGGAAGCAAAATTTCAATGAATTGAGATAATGCTCCAGAGAATGGCAGTTTTGCACCTTATTTTAATTTTTGTTATTATTTTTTTTAATCCTCACCTGAGGATATTTTTTCCATTGATTTCCAGAGAGAGTGGACAGAAGGGAGGAGAGGGGGGAGAGAGAGAAAGAGAAACATCGATGTGAGAGAGACATATCAATTGGTTGCCTCACACGTGCCCCCTGAACGGGAATCCAGCCACCGAGCCAGCCATCCAGGGCTGCACCTTATTTTATACATTACAATCAAAAGAGAAGGAGCAAGTGGGTTACATGAAATACATTGGTGATAGACTAGGGAGAGGAGAGAAAGCAAAGGGGAAACCTCTGGGATTGGATAAAAAGTAAAATGATAGACCTACTTCTTTTGCATAGGTGGGTATAGAATAGTTAACAGTCAACAATGAATAACAATGAGAGTGGTCTCTGCAGAGTGGTGCCTGTGCTTTGAGGGGTCCGGAAAAAGGAAACCTGCTCTGACATTCCAACAATGTATTACTGTAGATGCAAAAAGACAATAGGCTCAGGGTAAAGATTGACCTTAAATGCTGGCCTAGGACATGACTACCTGTCATAAACTGCTTTTAGTTTAAAAAGTTTTCATTTCAGACCAACCTTTGTGGTTACTCTAGATCTCTGAGTTTGCAAGGCCTCCACGCCAGGCCTTCCCTGAACTTACCAGGTTTAGTATGTGCCCCTTTCCATCCACACCTCAAAACTCTTACCTCAACCCATTACCAGTTCCAAAGCCACCTCCACGCTGTAGACATTGTTACAGCAGCACCCCACTTCTCAGTAACAATTTCTGTCATCCATTCCGGCTACTATAACAAAAATACCACAGACGGGTGGGGCTTATAAACAACAGAAATTTATTTCTTACAGTCTGGAGTCTGGAAGCCCAAGGTCATCCATTGGGTCCGATGAGGGCCCCTCCCTCGCAGCCACATCTCTACTGTAACTTCACGGGCAGTGGGATGGGGATCTCTCTGGGGTCTGTTGCAAGGGCACGAATTCCTCCTGAGGATGGAGCCATCATGTCTCAACCTCTTCCAAAAGCCCTACCTCCTCATACCATCACTGGGAGACTAGGATGTCAGCATGGATTTGGGGAAAACGAACATTCAGACCATAGCACCAGGGACCTTGAAAGCTGGTATCAGCTGTCTCCACTGCTGGCGAGAAGCCAACAGATGCTGGGAGCATCAAGGAAGTCCCGCCCCTGCATCCCACATCCCACCTCCACATCCTACCCTTGCATCCCACCCCAAAACCCACATGCTGCCCCTGCATCACACCCCACACCTGACCAAATCCTGCCCCAGCACCTGCCCCCTCTGTCCCACACCCTGTATCTCACCCCTGCACTGAGCTGGGAGGGCAGCACTCGGAGCAGAGCTGAGAAATGAGAAGCAAATAACTGACCAATCATCTTACCCCCAACTCCTGCCACTGCTAGTTGGGAAGCTGGTCACTACTCCTCAAGGCATCCCCAGGCTGCAGTCTGAGTTCACCTGAGCTTCTTACAGTGTCTGCCGTGTCCCTCTATCCCCTCTATTTCATGTAGTCTGGAAGCTGGATGGCAAGTTCTTGTTGGACACACTCCCTGCAGGGTGCCCAGTCCTCACAGTCAGCTGGTCTCACTTTGAGGATGGGGACAGCCTTTCACGTGAAAGGTTTGCCGCCAAGGACATCGCCTGATGCAGCCCTTTGATTAGAGTGGTGGCCCAGTTGTCATTACTTCTGCATTCGGGGCTGGGACTCCCTCAGAAGAACTTCCCCTGCTTCCACTAGGCTAAGTGTTGTTTCCCTGAAAATGTTCACACCAGAAAGCCAGCATAGAAGCATAACTCTTTCAATTATTGACAAAAGAAATACTCAAACTTGTAAAAACCCTTTAGTGAGAGTTTATTTGAGCCAGGACTTTGAGGACATGCCCAGAAGTAAGACCTCCATGGACTGACAGTGCTCCAGGGAAGGATGCTTTTGCAGTTCTTTTAGGATCAAAAGAGATGGCAGAAAGGTCACATGAAGTCCACTGGTGGCAGGGAAATCTCTAGGCGTGGCCAGAGAGGAAAGTAGAGATACACGCCTGCTTTACATTGGTGGGTGCAGGGTGGTTCCCACAATCACAGTGAGGAGAGACTACGCAGCAATGAGATGCGTTTCCACGCGGCCCTGCCCTGCCGCTAGTGGGCCGGTTTTGAGGGTCTGGAAGTGAAAATTACTCTGACAGTCCAAAGACATGTTATGCCAGATGCACAAGAACAGCGGACAGGCTCCCTCAAGGTGAAGACAAGCCTCTCACAAGGAAGCTGTGGGATGTGACCTTCCACCAGGACCTGCCCAGTCAGGGGCTGATGTTCAGACCCTCCTGTGTGGAGGTCTGGACAGCCACCTCTTCATTCTCACCTTTAACTGTGAATAGTTAGAGTAAGAATGTGCTAACCCCGGGTGATGCCCGAGGATCGCGCTCTTTTCACACCGCCACACCACCCCTCAGCTCCTCCTGCTCCTGCTCGAGCCGGTACTTCTGTACATTTGATGAAATTCTAGTCCACTGCAGCCTTTTTCTCTCTGACAGATGGGAGGTGCTCCAATGATCCCAGCACCACCACTGCCCCCCATATCTCCTGCCCCGGAGCCCATTCTTACTGGGGGTGGGGCATTGGAGAGGGTGGGACTCAGAGACCACAGGCAGCCGCTATGCTTCCAGGCCTGTTCCATGGGCAGAACCGGAAAATCATTTTATAATTGATTTATTTTCACTGAACTATGCGAGATGAAGGTGCTGCATGACCCTTCACCCTGAAATGCTTAGGCATGCGGCATACACATTTTTTAAGAAGGAAAAAAAAAAGTATGTGTCTACACTGTTTCCAATTCAAAATTTAAGATTTTAAATTTTTTTCCTTAAAATTTTTCATTTTACATTTTTTAAGATGAAAATCGTGGTTCTTCAAAACATTGAAATTATTTGCTTTATTCTACAGGACACAATTATTTTGGTATAATAATATTCTTATTAACAATAAGATTACTGATAAAAGTTTGATACATTTTTAAAAATATATTTTATTGATTTTTTACAGAGAGGAGGGGAGAGGGATAGAGTTAGAAACATCGATGAAAGAGAAACATCAATCAGCTGCCTCCTACACACCCCCTACTGGGGATGTGCCCACAACCAAGGCACATGTGCCTGACCAGAATCAAACCTGGGACCCTTCAGTCCACAGGCCAAGGCTCCATCCACTGAGCCAAACTGGTCAGGGCAAAGTTTGATATTTTTGTTACTGTTTTTATGCATTCCTCATTAAAGATATAGTTAAAATATAATTGGAGCCCTGGCCAGTGAGGCTCAACCCATGCATGGAAAGGTCACTGGTTCAATTCCTAGTCAGGGCACATACCCAGGTTGCGGGTTCGGTCCCGGTCAGGCTGCATCCGGGAGGCAACTGATCTGTGTTTCTCTCTCTTTCTCAAGTATATATAAATGGAATGAGCAATTTCTCTGGTTGCATATGTCATCAACTTGATACACAAACTAATTTAACTTCTACAAATTGAGTGTTCTCTTAGGTTAGCTTTGTGTAAAACATCCTATATTACTTTATTGTCAAAATCAAAACTGTAAGTTTGCCCTAGTTGGCTTGACTCAGTGGGTAGAGCATCGACTCTCGGACTGAAGGGTCCCAGGTTCGATTCCAGGCAAGGGCACATATCTTAGTTGCAGGCTTGATCCCCAGCCCGTTGGGGCACATGTGGGAGGCAACCAATCAATGTGTCTCTCTTACATCAATATTTCTATCTCTCCCCTTCTCTGCCACTCTCTCTAAAAATCAATGGAAAAATATCCACCGGTGAAGATTAACCAAAAACAAACAAACCAACAAAAATGGTAAGCTAAGGTACCTTTTGCCCCTCACAGAGCCCAGCCGCAGGGTGACCCTGAGAAGCCCTGTGCCAGTTTATCCAGCAGATCCCCTCATGCTGGGCATTTACTTTGTTGTCTTTTATTGTTCCTGGATTTTAAATCTCATTTGGGAGTGTTTTGCCCACTCCTCAGTTCCAGAAATTCACTTTTTTTTTCTAGTACTTGTTTCATTTTTTATATTTAGCTCTTTGGTCCATTTGGAGTTTGGTACAGTGGGATGTACGGTCTGGTTTAGTGTTTTTCCCAGTGGCTCGCTGTAAGTCGACAATCAGAGACAAACCCATCCTCCCTGCTGCCGCCGTTCCGGGGCTTGTCCTCGGGCTGGGCCTGAGTCTGGACGTCCCGAGTCTGCCCGTCTGCATCTGGTCTGGTGCCTGTAGACGGCCCAGTCCCTCCTCATTACTATTCTTTCTCAGGGTTTTTCTGGCTGTTTTTGCTTTTTGGTTTCTCTCATATGAACTTTATAACTAGCTTGTTTAAACTTAGGAAAAAAACATTCTGGTATTTTTTTGGTAAGGATTACATTAAGTTTATAAACGTGGAGAACTGTCTCCTCGCATGGGTTTCCTCTCCGGAAGCTGGTGTTTCTGTCTGCTCGTCTACTTGGGTGTCTTTAGGGTCCTGATTGTCCTCACAGAGGCTTCACGACCGTCTGGCTCACACCTAGAACGTGATCCTTTGCTGCTGTTGGAAATGGGGCACCTCTCCCAGTGTCTTCAACCTGCATATGCATAGACCACTGATGTGTCACTTCACCCCTGTGCTCCTGAGTGCTCTCAGCGTCTGAAACATTACCTTCTTATGCTGGAAATGCCAGCACATTTGGTCCAAGTGAATGACAGAAGGCGGGGGCAGGCAGGGTGGCCTTGTGCAGCACTGGTCTGAGGCTGTCCTCTTCCTCTCCACCCCCCATCCCTTTCTCCTGCCTGCTCCCTTCCTTCTCTCCACCTGCCAGACCTCACACTGCAAGGCCACTGGGGAAGGGGTGCTGAGCAGAAGCTGAGGGGACAGGCAGGGGGCTAGGGGGCCAGGAGGGGCAACGGGGGCAGTGAGGAAAGCTGCGCCATCGGGCCCCTTCTTCTTCCGAGGCTGCACGGGAAGCAGGGCTAGACCTTAGCAGTTGTCTGGCTCAACCTGCCTTGTACAGAAAGGGAAACTGAGACTGAGAAGCCACACTGCAGGCCTCCTGTGCCGTGTGCCTGTGGCTTGAGCGGGAGTCCGATGGGCTGCAGGGGACAGGCCCTGCTGGGGACAGACGGGAGCCAGGCTCAGGGCCATGGGGCAGGCTGCAGTGGGGAAAGGGCTGTGTGAGCCAAGCAAAGGGATGGGAATGGCAGGGACGGACGGGGTTTGTGGGGAGTAGGGCGACTGGGCACCCTGCTCTTGTTCCCCTGTGTGTGCGTGCTGGTGTGTGAGCTCCTGCTTGTGGCCCACAGGAGCAGAGGGCAGCCGATGAGGGAAGACGCGGCCTATCACGCAGGATTCACCTGCCTCCTGTCCGGTCCGGGCAGCCGCAGGATAGGCACACAGACGCAGGCAGGTCGCCTTCCACTGCTATGACACTTTATTGGAATCGAACACACACCCCGTCCTCGTAGGTCAAGAGTTGGTGCATTCACAGATCAGGGGTGCCGGCCTGGAGCCCAATCCCGGTCCCTGCCACAGGTGGGCGCGCTCTCTCGCTAGGGATGGATTAAGCAACAGCACATGAGCCTTATGCTCTGTGGGGTCGGTAAGATCCCACGGCTCCTCTAGCCTTGGCCAGGCCCAAGTCACCTTCAGGTCCAATGTCCTGACATGGTCACCCTTCGTGGATGGGACCCCGGTGTCAAGTGAGAGTTTGGTGTTCCCAGCTGCCTTCCTTTTGGGCCCGGGAGGTCACCCTGACCTTCTGGCTCCACAAGAGGCACAATGGAGCAGGGCCACAGGTGGGCACTGAAGGCCAGCTCCAGGCCCAGGGGAGCCTGCGTTCCCACTTCCCGAGGGTCTGGGTGACAGAGAAGGGGCTCGCGGGAGGAGGGGCTCTGCGGGAGGAGGGCAGTGCCTCGGCCCAGAGCCTCCTGGTTCCAGGGCCAGGTTCATCTTTCTGGCAACAGCACAAAGAAGGCAGCCTTCAGGAAGCGGCCGAAGCTGCAGAGTGCAGTCACAAGCCAATGGGAGTGGAAGCCAGGGTTGCTGCTGACCACACACTTGAGGACGTCGGTCTGCAGGGAGGAAGGGACAGTTGAGAACAGAGCTGGGGAGCGGAGGCCCCCGAGCCTTCCACCTGCGTCAGCCGAGCTGACAGGGAGCACTGAGCCATGGAGGGAAGGTCTGTGGTCTGGTGGGGACTGAAGGCTCCAGCAGGGACCAAACCCCTCCATGAGGATTCAGATGGTGAGAAGGGAAGGGAGCTCAGGTGGGAGAGGAGGCAGCTGGGCCCCATGCAAGGAAGCCACCATGTCCAGCCCCAGTGGGGCTCCAGTGGGAGAGGGCAGGGGAGGACAGAGGCCTCAGAGTCCCTGTGCTGGGGGTGCCACAGCTACGGGAGTCACCTGGAGGCAATACCTCCCCGCCCAATGCCCCCTTCAGATGAGACCACAGCCCTTGGCTGCAACCTCAACGGAGGGCTGAGATCGACCCTCCTGCCAGTGTGTCCCACCTATTTTACAGAGAAAACAGATCTATGGGTGAGGGTGCCCCGCCCCACGCCCAGGGCCCAGCAGCACCCACGGTCTGGCTGGGCCAGGTGAGTAGTTAGGGGCAGGGAGACCAATGCCATCGCTCACTAGGCACTGGAGCCCGGTGGGCAGGGCAGGGCAGGGCAGGGCAGGGCAGGGCAGTGCTGGCCTTTCCCTCTCAGGCCTGAAATCCCTCCCCAGGCCGCCTTCTGCAGTGCAGGGGCCAGGCAGCGGGTCTTTAGAACTGGAGTTGGGGGTGGAGGGGCAGGTCAACACTGAGGTGGGGCAGGAGGCCAGTCCTGGACCCAACAGCCCAACCCTTACTCGTCCTCCCACCTTTAGCACCACTCCCCTTCCCAGCACCCCTGCACCCCCAGACCCCACTCACCCATCCACCGCGTCTCCGCAGCCAGGTTGCCAGGGTCTTGCGCACAAATTCCCCGAGGCAATCGACGAGAGCATGAACCATGGCGGGCTGGGCCTGCCGCACACAGTCCACAGCCAGCCCTGCAGCCACCAAGTACAGGGACACCACCTTGCCCCACGTGATGCCTGCAGGGAGAAGATGCTGGTCAGCAGAAGGCCACCAAAACCCTGCTCCAGTCCAGCCCGCGGGGTCCCATGATGGCTGGGGGTGAAACTCAGGGGGCTAGCCCCTACCCACAGCGCCCCCTGAACAGGTGCCTGGCCATCATCTGCTGCAGGTCAGTCCTGCCCACCCTTTGGGTAGTTCTTAGGCAGAGATTTCTTTGGACTCCACTGCCTAACTGTGCACTTGTGCCAGAGCCCCAGACGACCCTGCTCAGCCTCCATCTCCTGGAGGAGGCAATGGGACGGCAAAGTATTCAGCGAGGAGGAAGCTGAGGGGATGGAGGGTGCTAACTGACTTGCAGCTGGACACAGTGGACAGTAAGAAGCTCTGAGGCACACCTGCCCACCTGTCTGTCCCCGAGCACCTTCTCTGCAGGGCAGCAGGGTGTTCCATGGGAGGAAGGGCCTTCCCAGACCACCAAGCTGTGTGTGTGTGGGGGGGGGGGGGGGGGGGAGGTAGAGCTGAGAAGAACCACCCAGAGAAGTATGCTTGCACATTATATGGTATGATTTCCCTTAATATATAAAAATATTTTATAAATTAATGAGAAAAAAGCGAAACCTTTCAAAAGAAATAAGCACAGAACATGAACAGCTGATTCACAAAAGGAGAAACAGAAATAATGCATTAGACATGAAAAATGCTCTTTAATAACCCGAGGGTGCATTACAATGGGATGCAGACTGTAGTCCACGAGATCATAACTCAGATGGCAACATGAGCCCCAGGCATCTGCAGCCTCGCAATGGACGCACAGCCACCTGCAGGCTGAGAGCACAGGCGGGCAGAGATGAAGCCCTTCCGTCTACCTACACAGCAGCACAGCTATCGATACGAATCAGAAATCAGCTTGAGCAGATACTTGTTCACGAAGTTCACAGCAGCCTTATTCCCAATCACCAAAAGCTGGAAATGACAAATGCACTAAGGTCATCCAGACAATGGTGTGTGACTCGGCCATAAGGAGTGAGGCGTGGACACTCACTGCAGCCTGGACACACCTCTGATGTCCACTCAGCAAGGGCAGTGACACCAAGGCCACCCGTATGAGCCCATCTACACGGTGTCCAGGAAGCAGGTCCGTGGTTACGGGGACAGGGGTGGGGGGAGGGACAGCTAATGAGCATGCGTATTCCTCCTGATGGTGAAAAACTCCGGGGTGGTGGTGCTCAGTGTGAACCCACTACATGCCACGGAATCGTACACTTTAAAATGGCTAGCTGTGTTATATGAATTTCACCTCAATAAAAACCTGATGAATCAAATCATGTCACTCCCTTGCTTAAAAACCTCCTGTCACTGTTACTTCCCTCTGTCAAAATAGGCCCAAGTCTGAAATGCCAGAGCCACGGTTCCCTCACCACCAGGTCTAATCAGGTCCCCCTCCTAGCGCCACTCAGGCCTCACACTATGCTCCCCATTTACCAGATGCCACAGGGCACCGGGCCAGGTCCTGTTCTGCTCACAGCTGGGCTTTGGGCACCCCTAAGCTCAGCACTCTCAGGTGCTCAACAGAGAGAGGGTCGGTGAAGGCTTGATGTGGGCAGTGGGGACGGAGCCCGCCGCCTGGCTACAGCCTGGAATCTGAGACCGTGACAGCAGGTTCTGTGGTGCGGTCTGCAGAGAGGTGCCTGCTGCGCCCTGAGAGGACAGTGAGTCCAGGGACATCCTGTTTCCTTTGTGCTTTACCATTTATGGAGATGTAATATCACTACCCTAAACGCGTCCTTCTAAAGTGAGATATCGTGTTTTAGTCCATCCACAAAGCTGCGCAACCATTCCAGAACATTCTCATCACCCCAAAAGCAACCTGCCCCCATGAGCAGTCACGCCCATCCGCTGGCCCAGGCACCCGTCCTGTGGACTCGCCTGTGGTGGACACGTCACCTACGGAATCACTGTGTGTCCCAGCGTGTCTGCCTCCTTTCACTCACCATGCTGCCCACGCTCATCCAGGTTGAGGTGCATCCTTTTGTAGCCAAATAACATTCCATCCCGTGGATGGACCACTCTCCACTCGTCTACCACTCCGGTGATGAACACTCGGGTCGCTGCACCTTCCTGACTCTCAGGAATCTGGCTGCTCTGAACATCCGTGCGCCAGTTTCTGTGTGATGTGTTCTCATTTCTCCGGCTCTCATGGCACCTGCCTTACAGACTCTGGCACTCATCCAAGCATCGGCCCTCTTCCCATTCCTGCCAGCAGCTTATGGGCCTTCCAACTCTTCCGATCCTCACCAACACATGTGCTACCTGATGCTCTTACCTGAGCCCTCCCAGGCGCCCAAGGGTCTCCCTAATGACTGACAACTACTGATCTTTTCGTGGGCTTACTGGCCATTTGTACATCTTCCCTGGAAAAATGTCTGTTCAGATCCTGTGTTCATTTTTAAACTGGGTTGTCTTTTTAGTATTATTTCCAAGAGTTTTTACTTTCTGATTCTTCTGTGGTAAAATAATTGCTCTTGTGATAAGGGAAAAAATGCAAACTCTTGCCAACTGTTAATCTGGGAGGAAAAATTAGTTTTTCCACGGAAGTGAATTGAGAAGCCCAAAGGTGCCTCTCCCTTGGAGGGGGCTTGACCACTGCAGGGGCCACCGTGGGAATCTGCCCTCCAGTCCTGGAGCTGCCCACAGCACCGGCACAGCCCCTGCCCCAGCCCCAGCCAGAGGCCAGTGGAGAAAGAAAGGGGTCAGCCTGTGCAAGGCCTGGCGGCAGCTTGGCAAGAACCAAAGGCAGAAAGGGACAAGGGCCAGCAACTGCCCGATGGCTGGGCTCACCCTGTGGTGAAAGGGTCCAAGGACCCCAAAAGGCAGGGATGGACGAGGGGTGACAAGGAGCCCACAGGCAACAAGCAGGAGGGCACCTCTCAGGCCTGTCCCCACACTGGGTGAGGCTAGGCAGGCTAAGGTAGGATGCCCTGGCCCCTCACACACCACAACCAACAGGGACCAGGCCCCCGCCTCCCTGCTCAGTCCCAACCACTAGCAGGCCAGAGCTGCCTTCTCACAGATGAACCTTCCTTTTAAAGCCAGCCTTGGGCTCGTAAACCAGCTGCCTGACAGCCTGGAGACAGACACAGGCGGCCACCCACGCGCCGGCGTCGGGCCAGGGATGTGGGAGTCCAGGAAGAGCCAAGGGCAGGCATCAGCCAGGACACCCACCTCGCCCTCCTGCTTTCTCCATGGCCCCACCCACCTCACCCTCCACAAGGTGCCTGACAGGTCACAGTCCCTCCATCCCCCAGGGCTTCCCAGGATCCGGGTCAGCACTGGGAGAACATTCTGGAGGAAGACATCCCCAGCCCACCCAAGCACCCCCTCATGCCATCTTCACCATGGTCACTTCTGCCCAGGGCGGTCAGCACTGACCCACTCAGTGGTGGCGCTGGAGGCTGGACTCTGCAGCTGGCAGCCCCCAGTCCGGGCCAGTCCTGTGTCCTGTGTCTCGCTGCCACACTTGCCACAACTGAGAGAGGCCTACGACTCAGGCCCTGCTCTGTCCCTGGTCGTCTGGCCGAGTGAAACCCAAGCCCCACAGGACATGTGCAGGACTCCCTGACCCCATCCAGCCCGGTCAGGACTTCAGGTCACTGTAGCCCCAGCTAACGTCCAACAAGAACCATGTGAGGCTCTGTGCCAGCTGCCTGGCAGGCCCCCCGTCTTTACCAAGAGAGCAGCACAGCCCCAGCTCCAGCCCCAGCCCTGACCCCAGGGCCACACTGGCATTGTTGGCTTCCTGGGCTGGATGCAGACGTACCTGCAGCAAAGATCTGGGCGGCCACAGCCAGGAAGGCGTCGGTCACCACGCTCTCGGAGTGCAGGGAGATGTTGAGCTGGCGCGCCACGTTGCGGTAGATGCTGGGCCGAATCAGCTCCAGCTCGTCCCCTGCAGTCACACGGGGGGTCAGAGGGTCCACACCTGCCTGACCCCAGCCCCCTGTCACAAGGGCCTGGGACCAGCCCACTCCTCAGCCCCATTGCCACAGCTGGCTTAGAAACCCTTCCTGCACTGACTGGCCTATATCTGACCCCCACTCAGCCCCCGGGCAGAGGAAGACCAGGGAGGTGGGGTGGGCACTCTCAGAACCTGCTCTGTGGGCCTCCCTTCTGACGAGCCAGCTCCCCCCACTCCTCCTCCCCCGCCACCCCCACCTAAGGCCAATCCGGCTGGGCTGGTGGGGTGGGAATCCCAGGAGGAGCATGGGCCGTGCCTGATGGGTGACTCATGGCCCACAGTGAGCTGCCCGGGCAGCAGGCAGACAGGGCAAGCAGCCAGATCCAACAAGGGCAGGGACTTGGACTCACACAGGTGGGCAGCCCTGGCCACTGCCTCAGAGGCCACTCTCACTCAGGCCCCAGCACCGCTTGGTGAATCAAGAAACTGAGCCACCATCCGGGGCCTCCAGCACTGCCCGAGCTCCAACTGTGCTTGTGCCAAGTGGGTGTGTGCATGGGCGGCCACACTCTGGAGGACAGGCCCTGTCACCAGCTCTGCCTGCCGCCTGCGCTCCCTGCGGCGCCCCTGGCAGAGGCGTGCCGGGAATTCCACAGACGCGCACTGGGTGTCTCTCAGCCCACCTCTCCAGCCAAAGCAAACAGGGAAACGCCGACTGGACAGTCCTGGTCGATAAGGACGCCAGAGTCATCCCCAGAGCCAGCTGCACACTATCTAATTAATTAAGATCTGGACCAAGCAGAACTGAGGCGGGATGATGAGGGGGCATGGAAATTCCCAGGGCTGGCCTGGCTGTTCCCACAGAGACCTTGGGGGCTGCTGGGGAATTATCCCAAGAGACTGAGCATGGGAAGTGACCCAGCTTCTTCCTGTGTGTGCTGTCCCCCGAGCTGGGCGTTTGCTGAGGAGGAGCTGGGGGCAGGGAGGCAGCAACAGGCCCAGGGCAGGATGCAGGGAATGAGACAGACACGCTCACTCTGGGGACCCAAGTCACCTCCCTCCAAGGGCCCCCTCAGCCATCTGGCAGGGGCTGTGCCCCAGGGACTGGACGTGGCCGGGCTGCACACTGGGAAAGGGCCTTGAAGGCCGAGTTTCTGAGAGGGCCAGTGCAATACCCAGGCTCAGGCCCAAGGGATGGGGCTCTCAGAGTGGAACAGAGGACTGAAGGGACAAAAATGAGCCCATCAGATCTGCAGTGCAAAGCAGGGCTTTTCAGACAAGCTTAAACAACAGGGACACCAGGCTTAGGGTAAGGGCAGCCCTACAAGGCCAGCGCCAGGTTGCAGAGCAAGCCAGGACAGACAGGACTTCTCCAAGCCCTGCCAGGGGTCCTCTAGAGTCTAGAAGGTGCCCCCTAGTGTCATCCCCACAGCCCAGCTAGAAGAAACAGCAGTGGGCAGCTGACCTCACGGAAGTCCAGGCGCTCCAGACCCCTGACTGATCCCCAAACCCACTTGCTCTCCACACCCACGGCCCAGGTGGAACACCACCCTTCTGGAGCCCTGCACAGGCCCCCACTGATTCTGTGTCTCTCACACACAGGACCTCAGTGCCCATGGTGAGGGGTCCAGACCCTGGAGAAGGTGGAGACAATTACTGGGTTGGGTGTGACCCCAGAAACAAATATGGGCCAGCCCCACGGTGGTGTCAGCTGTCCTGGGCACCCAGTTCTGCCGGGAGGGGGACCCTTGGTGGCCTCCAAATCAAGAGAAAAGAGCAGCAGACAGCAGGATGTCAGCCAGTAACTAAAAGGACCTATTTTCCAAAATAAACACCGGCATGTGGTCCGACCAAGGATATTTGTGCCCAGCTGAGTACAAGGGTCACTGGAAATGTAGCCACCAAAATGTTTTTCTTCCTACAGCTTTCTATCCTTTATGGCCAGGCTGTCTGAAATCTGGGCTGAGCAGACAAGTTGGGGGAGGTCTGTAGAGTGCAGGGAGCCCCTGAGAGGGGTAAATTCAGGACTGTGAGAGAGGGGGAGCATCGCCTGGGTAACCTGCCTCCACGCATGGCTATTCCATCCCCGTCCGTGTTCGCGTCCCCCCAGACCAGCCCCCTCTCTGCCCCAGAGGGAGATTGAGGCCCAGAAGTGGAGGGTACTGGTCAGGTCACCCCGTGGGCAGGTCACTGTGGAGACAGCTGTACCCTAAGGCGCAGTGGGCCCAACCCAGCGGACCAGCTCAGAAGGCGCAGTCTGGGGACCCATCCCGCCTGGTCCCACACTCACCCAGTCGCAGCAGCACCGTGCACACCTCTGCGAGGCGACCTCCCGGGGCGAGCGCGGCGCGCTCGGGCGCGCTCCAGGAGAGGCCGGCGCGCAGGAGCCGAGCGTGCACGAACTCCCGGCCGAGCGCCTTAGCTTGGGCCACCAGCTCCTTGTCGGTGGGCGAGCGGTCAAAGGCGTCCATGATCTCGGCGGCAAAAACCGAAGAGCGCCGCAGCACCTCCATGGCGGGGACGCGGGAGGGGGCCGCCGCACCTGCGGGCAGACAGCGCTCAGCCCGGCCCGCCCGGCCCAGCTGGCAGAGGGGAAAGCCGGCCGCGCGAGGAGGGCGGGAAGGGGCGCGGTGTGCACCTCGATCGAGTCCGCGCACCAGGCCGGGGCGCACGGAAAGACCTGGCCGGGTACAGCTCCAGGGAAGAGCTGCGGCCAGCAGGGGTATCCGTACGTTTCTCCGCCCCAAGTCTTTAAAAACACCGAGTCACATTCTTTTGGATCCCGGATTAAATAACAAAGACCCCCCGCGGCTGCCGGGGATAAAAAAAGGCTGAAGGGAAATGGCGATTTGCTCTGGGGCCGCCGTGCTCGCGCTCAAAGAGGAGTGCACGGTCGGCGGAGGCGCGGACGAGAGGCACAGCCCAACCTGCTCCGAGCTAGCCAGGACCCCAGCCCAGCCCTGCCACGACCTCCGCGCCCCGCCCCGCCGCGCCGTCCGCGGTGTTTGTCCCTGGCCTGGCCGTTCCCATGGCGCGTCTGCCAGGGGAGGGACGCCGCGCGCGCCCTGCTCACCTCTCCCGCCGCATGTCGCGGGCGCGGGGGCCCAGGAGGAGTTCTGGCTTCAGGATCTGCTCGCCGCCGTCGCCGGCGATCTGGATCCTAACATTCAAACCTTCGAGGACGCGGGCCCGCCCCGGCGCCCGCCCAGTCCGCGCCTGAGCCCGGCTGGAGCGCGGAGTGCGCGGGGCCTCGCGCGCTCCTAGGGCTCCGGCGGCGGCGTCGGAGGCTAGGGGAGCGCGGGGCGCACCGCGCGACTCTCCGCCAGCGAAAGGCGAGGCTTGGGGCTTCGCCTTCTAAGGAAAGGCAACCCCCGGGGCGGAGCCGCGCGGGAGCTTCCCCGCTTAAGGAGGCCTGAGTGAGTTCCCACTCAGGGCGGGCAGGAGCTGCCCCGCAAGGCCCAGTGATTAGGACCTAGCTGGGGCCTCAGACCATTTCCCCCACTGAGTTGGGAAAGAGTCCCCACCTGCGTTCACATCTGGCCACATTTTCTCATTGATTCCTAGAGCTCTTTATATATTCCGGATCACCCTGGCCACATGGGTTTGTGTTAGAGATGGATCCGGGGATTTTCATTGTATTGAAGAGACTGCAAATACTTTGTGCTATTCTGTGGTTGCTATTGATTATAACGAACAGGAGTTATTCTCAATGAAGTCCAATTTATCAGTCTTTTCTCTTATGCTTCATGCCTTCCCATAATGATATTGTATGTTTTCTTTTTGAAGTGTAATAGTTTTAGCGTTCACATAGTGATGGGCCACATTAATTCTTGTGAGTGGTGTGGTAAGGGGTCAGAGCTCATGTATTTTCCATGTGTGTATCCAGTTAACCCAGCATCATTTATTGAAAGACTATTTCCCCCACTGAACTGGGAAAGAGTCCCCATAATAAACAAGTGATGTACATGTGAAGATCTGTTCTGGACTCTTCTATCCCACTATTTATTTCTCTATCCTTGAACCAACACAGCCCAGTTCAAAGAACAGGATTGACCAACTTGCTCCAATTCACACCTAAACAGCCAATAGAATACATGTTCTTTCCCTGTGCACATAGGATATTAACCAAAATAAACCAAATCCTGAGCTATAAAGTTGTAACAAATTTCAAAGGATTGAAATCATACAATTGTGTTCTCTCAGCATTAATAATAATAAACTCAATAATAATAAAACTGCTAGAAAGCCTCCAAGTGGCAATTAAACATTACACTTGTAAATAATCAATGGGTCAAAGAGTAAATCACAAGGGAAGTTGCAAAATATTTTGAAGTGAACGGTAGTGAAAATATGGGATGGAGGTAAAGCAATGCTTAAAGGAAAATTTATAGCTTTAGAAGAATGACTAAAAATTAGTGCTCTAAGTTACAACTCAAGAAGCTAGAAAAAAAAATTAACAAATCCAAGCCAAAGGTGAAAAAAAATAAGACCAGAAATTAATAAAAGCAAAAATTAGAAAAAATATAACAAAGCCAAAAAATGTTATTTGAAAAGATTAATAGAAATGATAAACCCCTGGAAATGGGTAAGAACTCCCCCCCACCCACACACACGGACACACACACAAATTCTAATATCAGGAATGAAAAAGAGCACATCACCACAGGTATTACAAACATTATAAACATAGCAAAAGGTTAGTATGAGCAACTTGGACAGTAAATTTGAAATTTAAGTGAAATGCAATTTATCAAAACTGATACTAAATTAAATTTGTTTAATCCATAATTTAAAATTTTCTTACAAAGAAAATTCTAGGTTCAGATGGTTTCATTGACAAAGTCTTCTAAACAGTTGAAGAAATATCACCAACTGTATACAATCTGTCCAAAGAATCGAAAACGATGGAGCCTTTCCCAGCTTATTTTGTAAGGCCAACATAACATTGACCCCCCCAACCTGTCAAGAACATTAGACGATATTAGGAAAGCTACCAAACCTGCCTTGGTATCCCCCACCCATAGAACAGAACATAACAACACCTATCTCCTCAGGCTGTTGAGAAGACTGAATCAGTTAATATGTGTAAAAAAAAACCTGTGTAGTAAGTACTCAGTAATTTTTAGCTGTTTTTGCAGAGCAGCCACAGAACTCTAAAATATGAGTGTGCACTGTCCTGTTCTCTTTAATGCATAGAGCACCAGGGCAGTCTGCCTCTGATGTTTCTGAAGAGCACTCAGGCTTGGGGCTCCTTGTGTTTTGTAGATGGGAATATGGGACTTGTCCAAAGAGTGGGTGCAGGACGGGGCATAGCCCGATTGTGAACCCGAGTCTGACGCCAGGGCCCCTGGAAGGCAGCTCTGACATGAGAAGCATCTATGCCTGTGGATCCCTGTTAACACCCCCACCTCATATGTGGGAAGTGTGGCCTCAGGGAACTTCCGGTCCCATTCACAGCCTCAGTTTCCTCCCAGACAAAATGAGACCTGGCTCTCTGTTTCCTCTGCCCCAGGGTGTGGAAGGGTGTAGAAAGACTTCCTGGGCTCTGACCTGCAAGTGACAGATCACTGGGTGTAACCCATAGTGACAGGGCCCCTTCAGTCCCAGAGCTGCAGGCCAGAGACCAGCCATGCCTGACACAGGCGATGTCTTCCTGGACATTCCAGATCAGATAAAGCCGCGTCCCAGTATATTCAATACTGAATATTGACAGCAGTAAGGAACTGAACAGGCCCAAGTACTTATCAAGAGGGGGGCAGATAAACCCACCTGTAGTACCTGGACCACAGCCTTATTCAGACCTTTAAAAGCTTAGGCCCTGCTAGAATCACTTGAGGTCTACCTGTCCCTTGAGGCTGCAGGAGGCTGGCCTGACATGCCCAGCTCAATCCCAGCCCCCAAGGGTACTTGGACATTCTTCCAATTACCTTGGCCCTGATTTTCTGCCTCTTAGAATTCTTGCTCTCCACTCTTATCTTGCATCTGACCCTTCTGTCTGCTCCTGGTTGACGCAGTGTAGAACTTGGTCCCTGGTTGGTGAGGAGCCTTCTGAGTGCTCACAGCCCAAACTGACTTGAGCATAAGGAGGTCTGTGGAATTGTGTGACTGAAATGTCCAGGAGAAGTGCCCTGGTTTCAGGCATGGCTGGATCCAGGAGTCTCCCTTTCCATCTGGGGTCTGTCTGTGCTCCTTCCTGATGGCTTTGCTCTCAGGCTACTTGTCCCCAAGTGATTGCAAACTAATGCCTCTGGCTTCCTGAAATTCCCCCCCCCGCTACACACACATAATTCAGCCTTTCCCAGTGGAAAAAAAAGCCACTCTTTCTAGGTAGCTCCTGGGGGTGCCCTGCGACCAGCAGCCTCTGTCCTTTACCTGTCACTGAAGCAGCTGTGGCTGGAAGCGGGATAGGTGCCCCGTGGTCAGGCCTGGTCACAAACCTGGCCCTGGAGCGGGTACAGGGGCCCTTCAGTAGTCCCATCAGCATGGATGCGGGCGGGGCTACTGTGGGAGGTGACAGGAGAAGGGTCCTATCCTGGCTTTCTGTAGAGACCTGCTCAAGGCTATTGTATGGCTCCCAATTTGGGAAGCAGAAGGTCTATAACTCAGTGATAACAGGTTTGTAAAGTGAGTGGCAATACCTACCTCAGATGTGGTCACGGGTCCCTGCCGGGTCCCCCTACGGCCATTCAGGAGGACAGACACACGCAGGATGGTGTCCCCGACCCCAGAGCAAGTGCTCGGGCCCCAGAACACCCTGTCTGCACCACTGCTGCCTCTTCCTGGCCTGGCCCTAGAGGGAAGTGAGTGGCCGGAGTTTGCAGAGGTGTGGACTGGAGTGAAGGGGTGTGGAGAGGTGTGGACATGTGGGGTTCATGTAAGAAAGCTGAATGCAGGGCTTGCTGTGGGTGGAGGGGAAGGTTCGGGCCATATTCTTGGTGGGAATCTGGATTTCAGGCTGTGAACCTAGTCATGAAGTAATACATGCTCATGTGATAAATTCTGGAAAATATATAAAAAACATAAAGAATTTGCACAAAAGATTCATAATTGGGCTCACAGGCAATCATTATAAATGGTTTAATATATCTTTATCCAACCACAGGAGGAAAAAGATAAAGAGAAGGAGGGAGCTGGGTTGTAGCTGTTTCTGTTTTCCCCACTGTATTGTCGCCTGTGAGAACTTCCCCAGCTCCTTACGGTTCTGCACAAATGGTAGTTTGATGACTGCACACTGCTCCTCTGTGGCTGTGTCACTCAGTTATTTATAACACTGGGCATGTTTAACTTGTTTGTACTTTTCCACTATTGAACTAAATCATGTCCTCTGATCACTTTCTTAGCATTGCTGCCCAGAAGTGGTTTCCAGGTCAGTGGGAAGGGGTGTTTAAAAAAAATATATTGATTTCAGAGAAGAAGGGAGAGGGAGAGATATAGAAACATCAATGATGAGAGAGAATCATTGATCATCTGCCTCCTGCACATCCCACACGAGGGATCAAGCCCACAACCCAGACATGTACCCTGACTGGGAATCAAACCGTGACTTCCTGTTTCATAGGTCGACTCTCAACCGTTGAGCCACGCTGGCCAGCATGGGAAGGGGCATTTTTAAGACTCCGCATCATGACGTGTTTGGGCCCTGGTGGGGTAGCTCCGTTGGTTAGATGCAGCGGCCGACAACCTTTCGGACCTCACGGATCACCGGTTGGCGACTGCTGGGTTAGAGCATTGTCCCCATACACCAAGGTTGTGGGTTCAGTCTCCAATCAGGGCACATATAAGAAGCAACCAAGGAATGCATGAATGGGTGGATGGACAAATCGACGTCTCTCTCTTTCTCTCCAAGTTACCAAATAAAAAGAAATTTTTAAAGAAGTGTTTTGGGGACAGCGTGGTCCCTGTGGAACCCCATTGCAAGGGTTTGAACAGCAGAACAGGGAAAGGACTTTGAGCTCCGTGGGGTGGGCATGCAGCAAAGCGAGTGTCTGGTCTGCAGCCAGGGAGGTAGTACTGGCTGCCTGTCGGGGGGCTGGGGCCGGGCGGCACCTGAAAGCACCCACCCTTCACTAACCTGGGTTTGAATGTTTCCAAAACTTATATTCACTCTTAGAAGGTGAAGATTTGCTGTCTGTGAGGATAGAGAAGGTGACCGAGGCCTCGAGGTGTGTGACGTATGACAGGGTGTGACGATGGAGTGGCTTACCTTTTGACCACCTGGATGTGGGTGGGTCTGCCTGGGGCCAGTGCTCCCCTGGTTCTCTGAAGGACACATGAGCAAATCCTTGAGCACACACTTGGCAAACACTGCGTGACCCAGCATGGGCTGCCCTCAACGTGCCAGA